ACGCGCACGCCATCTAGGATGGAACTAAACCGCCGCAGGGCGAACCTAACCCAATTACCGGGAACTGGTCTTACACGCGCGTGTATAATCTCAGAAATAACTCAATTAATAAGCTTCAAAAAGTGATACGACGTGAATAGTAGTGGTGGATGATAAGGAGGAGCGCAGTTAGTAGGATTCCACAAATGACATCGAGTATGTTGAACACTCTAATTATATATTTCGCTATGTACAAGTGTGATCGTATCAGTGTGTAACTGAGATTCCTTGAAGTAAGTCGGGTGGCGCCTGACGGCGCAAGTACCGCGGAGGTACTAGAGAGAGTTAGGCCTTCGGGAGCTGTTCTCCTTGTCGGTGTTCTCGCCAAACAGTTTCCGGAGACGGACCTGGAGGAACGGGCTGAGCTGCACCGATGAGACCGACCGGATCTTCAGGCGTCCACAGGATGACCGAGAGCGTTTGGAGAGCTGGTCCCGGAAGCGTTTAGGAACGCTTAGTTGACTCGAAAGACCGAGGGGATTTGACCACCGTATCCTGCGAGCGTTCGGACGAGCGGGAAAGCTTTGCCGACTCGATCGGCGGACTTGCAGGACGGTCCGGTGTCCGTGGCTGACTGATCGGCGGACTCGGAGGGCATCTTGGTATCCTCGGCTTCTTCGGTGTGAACGGCGGAGGATTCAACAGAGTCAACGCCGTCAGCGTTGGGCCGGACGGCGATGTTCTCTGTCTGAGTTGACCGGGAGACCTGGCTGACAACGGACCGAGGTCGCAGGTCCGTGAGCCTCCAACCCGTTGGTGCAGTTCCGGGAAGGTCGATCAGTATGAGCCTCCACGGAATGAAAGAGATTCCTGGATCTAGCCGGTTACCGGAGACATAGACAATCCTTGATGGACTCCTCGAGATCGTGCTAGAGGCGGGCGCCTCGGAGGGGGGCTGAGGTGGTCCCCTACGCCTAGCTCGCGGCAGGGTGGTGTGTCGCTGCACTCGGAGAAGCAAAATCCAGAGATCGGATGGGCTAAGCCGAGGTGGTGCGAAGGCGAAAAGACAAAGGCCCTTGAGTACTGACCTGGGAAGTCCGGACTCCAGCTTCCTCCCAAAGTCAGAAGCCCGTCGAGCTCACTCTGGTGGTTACTGCAAAACACTCGAGGATAACGACCTACTGCGAGAGTAGTAAACTCACGTTTTTCTGGAGCAAGGAACTGGCCGAGGACGTCCCACCGGGTCATATTCATAGCAGGCGTGGGCGGATTTCTCGTACGAGAAAGTGGAGCGCAGCTACGGCGCCGCGCACTACTCCCGCCGTGTAGCGGACACGCGGGCCAGACGCGCGTGCCGTAAAGTGCGCGATCTAGCAATAGCACTGCCACTGCACTGTTATGTTTTTTTCTACAAAAGTAGTAGAAATTAGTACCAAAAGATTTTTCTGCAGTACTGTAAAAACATATAAAATACAAATAAGAATTTCAAATAATAACTTATTTTTACAAGCAAAAAATTAAATTATACGGAAAGTATAAATATTAATATAAATTTTTAAAATAGTTAAAAAATATACTTATAAAATCAACTGTAGTGATTGATATGTTGATACAACGGTACTGATATTACTAGTACCACCCTGGAGACCCTATGATACCTAAGTTTGGGATTTTTTTTGGGTAAACAGATAACTTTATTTAAAAATTACTTTAAGGACTTTAAGGACATTGTTGTACATATATAATAATGTAAAAAAAATATTTTATTTTTTTAATGTTCAAAATGGTGGCACACTGACCTACTTGCCGAATGCCTTTTTTCTAAATATTGAAATCGGTGTACAACATTGCAGGCACACAGTTTGACCTTGAACAAAATACAAAGAATTTTCATTGTCTACATATTAAAAACTACAGATGTACATAGGGATTTTTCAAAATATTGATTTTTCTTGAAATGATAACTATTTTTATAAAAAACGTGCGTTTTTTGCCCTAAAATTTAATTATAAAAATGTTAAGAGGATGCTGAAAGGTCGGCCAAATTTGTACGAAGTCGATAAAGCAGACTCTTCAGTGTCAGTGGTATCTCTAAATGAACTTCTTACAATATCTTTTGGTCTCACTCAAATGCGTGGAATGTCCTTATCTAACTTATTGAAGTGCCATCTCTTGAAAAATCCGGCACTTACTGCCAGACGCAATTTTTGCTGTCTTTTCGGTAGCTAAGCGTGCGAATTACCGTAAATTGCAGTTGGAACGATAAACCTTTTTCTAAGCTTTCAATCGTCTTAAGCTTAAAAGGTCTTGTATTATTTGTTCCTGTAATCCGAAGGGGGCGAGCTATTTATTTTGTACGTATGAGTTATAGAACTTTTATACCAATGAAATGTTTACGTCAGGTGATAGGTTATGATTGCTGTACGACCCGAAAAAAGGTAATTTTTTAATTTTTTGTCGTTTTTACTACAAAAAAATAGCTCGCCCCATTACATTTTATGTCTATTTCAATCCTGTTAGCGATAATAAAAGCGATTTTAATTCCGTTCAGTATTTTCGAAATTATCGTTCCAACTGCAATTGTCGGTAATTCCCGACCTTTCAGCATCCTCTTAATTGCAAAAAAAGTTTTCAATATTTCAAAAAAAGCCTACGTACCTCTTTAGAGAATGAATTGAAGAATATTCTGTGAAAATTTCAAGTAAATCGGATAAAAACTGTAAAAGTTATGTTGTACACCAATTTTAAAAATGCTGTTTCGAGAAGAACGCATTTAAAGTTTTTAAGAGAATTCTTTTGTCTACAGAAACAAAAATTTTAATTTTACCTTCCATCTGCGATGCCTGCCCCATAAAGCGGCTACAACTGTATGATTGTAGTGACATCTATATGTATATATTGAACAGGATATACTTCCCGATAGATAAATAGTCTTGCAAAACACGACGTCGGCGCCGCTCAAAACACCTGGAGCCGCTCGGCAGCGCGTCAAGGCGCTTCGTTTAGACAGCTCTAATAGCATAATAGAGATGCAATTTCGCTGTAAAACTGTTTTCATTGTACTTTTAAGACTACAATCTAACAATTTAAACAAAAAAAAAGAATTTTTTCAAACCTCCAGGGTGGTGTAACCTCTTAACAATTATAAATTATGAAAGGATCGATTTAACTGTATCGCATGAGATTGGTTGTGAAACGGATAAATGTCTGCGACATTTAAATAAAGAATACGAACAACATGAATTGCATCTGCAAATAGCGTATGAGAGAATTTAATTTAATTTTTTGTAGCGTGCGGCGCATGGTGGAGGTAGTTGATTTAGATATGTTACTACGCGATTGCCTAGCGCGCGGCGCAGGATGGGGATAATCCATTGCGCGCGCTAGACAATCAATTACCCCCACCACGCGCCGCCCATTAGGCGCGCGGGGGAGGTGACCGCGGTCCGGGCGGGCGTATCTCGCGATATCTACTATACTATACTATTTTGCAAAGATCGCAAAGTAGTAAAGAACTTTTTTATTCAGTTTGGTCCACACTACCTGCCCACAAGCGCTGTACCATTGAATATGAGACATCCTGTATATACATGGTCTATCCCAAAAATAATGAGACTAACTCTGGAAAAATTGTTTTATTGAAAATAGACTTAATATCTTCCAAAATAGGATCCTTGAGCATCAATACAGCATTGCTGCCACTCTTCGTAGCAGCGCAGGAAGTCTTGACCGTACATGTCTTCCAGAGCATTCGTTGCGGCTGTTTGAATCTTTTTAACTCTCTACTCGGAACATGTCGAGAAACGCGTTTTGGACTAATGATTTTTGGATCGAATTTCTTATATTTTTTTGGCAAAAATTTAGTTTACATTCGGTTAACCCTCTACCCTGGATACCCGGTTACATGGGACACCCGTCATAATGACCGCTATTCCAGAAAAACGAGTTTCATTTATTTTTCCACTAGTGTAAATGTGAACTTTAGCGGTCATAATGACCGATATTCCAAGCACAGGATTAA